TATTGATTTGGTTGCTATTTTTCCATTGTTAGGATGGGAGCAAAGCCAAGAAATTTATAAATGTTTGGAATGGTCTGGGCAGATAAAATGGTCTGGAAGAGGAAGGATGGAAATACACAAACTTGCATCTCCTATTTGTATTGAAATATATAAACAAACCAACACATAAAAAGAATATCAGTGATTTAAAAAAAATGTATTTTCTTGGGGTCAGGGAGATGGAGCTGCAATTTTGAATTCTTGCTGCTCTTACAGAGAACCTGAGTTCAATTTCTAGCGCCCACATTGGTCTGCTCACATCCACCTGTGTTTTCAGCTCTAGGAGATCTGACGCCCTCTGCTGGTCACATGAATGCTCGCCACAGAGATAGAAACAAAACAATTCTAGTGACCAACAGTTATTTGTTTGCCAATATTTTACATTCTATTTAATAGCTGTTAGAACAATATCCCCTCATAATTCTTCCATTTCAGAGCTGTTTCCCCAATATTTATTTATTAAGCTATACTTTTCTTTCTTTTTTTTTCTCCTTTTCTTTGTTGTTGTTGTTTTGTTGTTGTTGTTTTTTTTTTTTTTTTTTTTTGAGACAGGGTTTCACTCTGTAGACAAGGCTGGCCTTGAACTCACAGCAATCCACAAGGCAGTTTTATTCTGCCTTGCCCAGTGCTGGGATTACAGTCATTTGCCACCATGCCTGGCTTATCAAAGTATAATTTACAAAGATTTTGCCATGGTTTATCTCATTCCATTCCCCAAATCACATTTTTTTTTATGTAGATCTATACATACATAAATTGAGTTAGGAAGATATTTTTGCATTGTTGAGACCTCCTGTCCAGGACTTTATTCTGTTTCCATTTATGAGCACCCTCTTTTATGCCTCTTAGTAAGGCTTTGCTGTTTTCTTTATACGGACATTGCCATTTCCTATTATGCTGATGATTAGCAAACACCTGATTCATACTTATCAAAAGTATGGACATAATTCCCCACCATAGTTTCTAAATGGTAATTACTAATATTCAGTGTTGTGTGTGGGATTTCTATAGTAGTGCCTCTCTGCCTTCTAGCTTTATACAAACTAGAAGCATAGAACTAGAGGTATAGAGGAAAAGGAAATGAGACATAAAAATTCTACCCTCGTTGCTGCCATGGTGCCTGGGAGCTTCAGCTATTGCTCTGGAACCAAATGGACTTGCTGTTTTTCTCCTGTAAGCAGACAGACTTATTTCTATAGTTTCAGGACAGTGATATGTCAATGTCCCAGAAACACTTCTGCTCAATAGTGAAGGCATGTGAAAAAAATTTCTGTCTGCAGTCAATTCAGATCCAAAACAGAATTCAGAGCCATCTGTTCCGGTTTAATCCCTTCACCAAACTCACTAATTACTTCTTTCAAACTACTTTTCCACTAGGGTGGAGATGCTGGAATTTTCTCGGTACTGAAAAGAAAGCCAACCACTGTTTTTGGTGTTTATCTTACAATTGTTCACCTTAAAAAAGACTGTAACATTTTAAGTTGATGCTTTTGAGTTTTATTCTTAAGGAAACAAATCATGAAAATGTTCTCTTTCATCTCGATTTGTCACTCTCAATTTCTTCTCTTCTCTTATTGCATTGTCCTTTATGACACTCCCATCCGGCACTCCCGTTTCTGACTTCAGTGAGAATATCTCTGATGTTTCACCGTTGGACATGTGTATCGACGGCTTCTGAGAGATAAACTTTGCTATGTTAAGAAGTTTAAATGTGGCCATGGTGCATGCCTTTAATCTCAGCACTCGGGAGACAGAAACAAATGGATCTCTCTGAGTTTGAGAACAGCCTTTTCTACAAAGAGAGTTCAGGGATACCTGAACCACAAAGTGAGACCCTGTCTCAAAAAACTCAAAACCAAACTCACCACCACAAAACCTTTGGATGTTCTTTCTAGTTTACTGTTTTAATAAGCCACTGGTGTTGAGATTCATTAAGTGCTTTAAAAGTACTGAGATGACTCCGGCTAAGAACATCTTTTGCCTGTTGCTCTTACAGAGACCATGGTTCCCAGCACCCACATGGTGTCCCATACCTATCCTTAACTCCAATTCCATGGATTCAATGTCCTCTTCTGGCACCCATTAGCACCGAACACATGTGGTACACACACATACATGCAGGCAAAACACTTATGCACACAAAATAAAAATACGTGTACAAATTTAAAGTATTTACCCTATTGATATTATAATGTTTTTAAAATTAGTGCAATAAAGTTATACACACACACATATGTATATCACAATAGGATTTAACTATGTAGCCCTGGCTGTCCTGGAACTCTCTATGTAGATCAGACTGGTCTCCAACTCCCAGAGAGCTGTCCGCCCCTACCTCCCAAATACTTGGATTACAGGCTTGTGCTACCTGTATTTGAGACACGGCTCAGCGGTTAAGAGCACTAGCTGCTCTTCCAGAGGACCTGAGGTCAATTTCCCAAAAACCACAGGGTGCCTCACAACCATCTATAATGAGATCAGAGTGTCCTCTGTAACATGACAGACCACTCATAAAGACTCTCCCCCCCCCCCCCTTTCTTTTAAGGAAAAAAAAATGGTGTGTGCTACCATACCTGCTCTCAATTTACAGATCTTTTCCTGTCATCACTATTTTTTTAAAGATGTATTTATTTCTGTTATGTCCAGGCACCACATGCGTGCCTGGTGCCCTAGACAAGTTTTGAGCTGTCATGGGGCTGCTAGAAGTCGGACCAGGTCATCTGGAGAGCTGCCAATGCTCCTAACTTCTGAGCCAACTCTCCAGCCCCAAATTTACAGATTTCTTAATACTGAGTTTCCCCTTTGTAATTCCGGACTAAATACTGCCTGATCATAGAGTGGCGGTTCTCAACCTTCCTAATGCCTAGACCATTTAATACAAAGCCTCAGGTTGTGGTGATCCCCAACCATAACATTATTTGTTACTTCATTATTTGTTATTTGTTACGAATTATCAATATCTGCTATGCAGGGTATTTGATGTGTGACACCCCCACCAAAAAAAAGGGGGGTTACACCACGCAGGTTGAGGGCCACTGTCGTAGTTTGGGCTGTCTTTATAGCCATCTGAACCAGAAAAATGCTACCTACCGTTTTACTTAGTAGGGCAGCAGCTCTATGAAGGGTGTCAGATATGGCGGCAATTCCCACAGTGGGAGGTTAATTGACAGGCTTTGAGGACAGTGACCTTCTTGGCCCCAGATCATTCCCGAGAATGGCTTACTAAACAAACCACCAGGCTTTTTGTTTTGTTTTACCACGGGACATCCCAGAGGCTTCCATATTTTAACTTACTTTGAGTCTCCCAAAGGTGGGCAGACGAGTGTCACACAGCACTTTCTTTCTAGACAGCAGACAGCCTTTATCAAAGCACATACATTCGGTTCTCTAGGGACAGAGCTCCGTACTCATGTTCTTTTTGGTGTTATTTCTGTTTGATCTTGGTATCAGGGTTCTGATACACCTGGAGATACATTATTTTCTTTTGCCTTTTAGCAGGTTTTTGTTGGAGACAGATCCCTGCCTGGCTGTCCTGGAACTCACTACGTAGATTAGGCTGACCTTGAACTCAGAGATCTGCCTGCCTCCGCCTCCCCAGTGCTGGAATTAAAATGAGCACCACCACGGGCTCCATACCAGTTTAAAAGCACATACTGTCTGTTTCCTTATGGTGTGTTTGGACTTGTTATAAACCCATTTGGATCCAGCGGTATTTCTGAGTGACATAGATACCTGGATTGCATGCATACATTTGGGTATCATCCCCACGGGATCTTTTCCTCGACAGCTAGTTTTGCTTGGCACTCTGTTTCAAGTCCTGGCTAGTTTGGAAAAGCATGTCATGTGTGGCTATGAGTCCTGGTGCATGAGCAAACCGAAGCTGGCTACTTTGTGGTCCTCTGTTTTAAATGTCCAGTTTAGCACACATCCCTTCCGGGGCCAGTAGGCCCAGCTGTGTAGGGGCAGGTGGTTCAGGGATCAAAGGCTACCGCCTCCTTTCCTTCCAGCCTGAGGGTCCTGCTTCATTTCTTCCAGACTTGTGTACCTTTCCACAGGCGCTACAGGGGCAGGCATACTACTCTAGATGCCTCCTCAAGGTTTGCCCCCAGGCCTCTGTTGGTAAATCATTTGCCCAGCAAGAGGGGTGAGCTGAGACCTGCACTGAGCGTGGGGTCAGTCTGAGGCCCGGCTGCACTGCGTTAGATCAGCCGGCTAGTGGGAAGAGCAGAGGGGATCGCCCTGGGGTGCAGTCAAGCCTACAAGGGCCAGGTGGGAAGGCGTCCCTGCAAAGAACCTCTCCAGGCCTGCAGGCCTGGGTGCCAAAGCGTCTTCCAGGGACCTACCAGCTGAGCGGTGGACGAGGGGGACTGCGAGGCCTAGCGGAGGTCGACTGGGGGCGGGGACCGAGGGCGCCGGGGGCCACAGGGCGGTGCGCTCCCGGGCTCTGCCGCAGGCTGCGCGCCCCTCCCGCCCCGGCCCGGGCCCGAGTCGCTGCCTCCGTCGCTGCCGCCGCTGCCGCCGCCGCCGCCAGGCCGCGCCCCGCCCCTCGCCGCCG